CCTAAACCCTAAACCCTATATGTATCCCCAAATAGAATACAACATAACCCTATAATCCCTATAGTTTCCGTTATAGGGGGGATAATAAACCCTAAACCCTAAACCCCTAAACCCCATTATGGGTTTCCCTCTGGGTTTCCACGTTAGTTGCCGGGAGTGTACAGCTCGCCTCGATGTAAGGCGAGCCAGGCAGAGCGTGGACCTGACAAAGAAAAGGAAGAAAGGCTGGGACAAAACCTGGGTTGCTGTTAAGGAACTTAAATTAAGTTACTATATTGGGGAAACCCATAATGGGGTTTAGGGTTTAGGGTATTAAATCAAATGGAAAAGAAAATGGAAAATGAAATGGAAACTGGGGGAATATAGGGATTTAAGGAGGTTGATTTAAGTTACTATATTGGGGAAACCCTATTATTTACTATATATATATATATACCCATTATGGTAACTTAACTTAAGTTCCTTAACAGCAACCCAGAAAAGGTTTGGGATAACCCTTGGCGAGAGGGCATCTGAGCTATCGTCTAGAACTCCTTCAAGGGGGTCTATATAGGGGATTATATAGGGGAGTATCATAGAGGATATTAAAGGGGGATACTAGGAGTTTAGACTGTAGCTTATGTAAAGCTAGTGATGTACACGAGGCTGAAAGCCCGTCATAACGTCATAGAACATGCGCTGGGCCGTTTTTTTGTATACCCTCTTAGGCTTTAAGGCTTAGTTGAAACTCTGTGGATCCTAAGCTTTGGTTAGTCTCGTATTACTACAGTGCTTTCAGCCTTCCCCTCCTCGTTTGATGAGACGTCTGTTTAATGGGTTGCAGTACTGCGCTGAACGTCTGGGTAGTTCAAGGGCATGCCCCAACTTTGTTTGCAGCTCACTCACAACAGCTGACACTCGCAGGGGCATTGAGTATCATCCCAATCCAGATTACAACCGACCGGCCGCCCTACGCTCTTGCCCTCAAGTAGGTTTTTTTTCAAAAACGATGCCTTCCCACCCAAAAGGAAACACCGAAGCCTAAGCCACGTGCAAAAGGCTAAACGCATGCGCCTTAAACTTCTGACAGCCCTACGCCGTGAAAACATGTGCTGTGCCGAACCTCTCAGCTCTGAGACTTCAACCTTAAACGAACGGAACCCCCCCCCTACGAAAATCCTAGAGATCACCCTGAACATTGAACCCTAAACCCCAAACCCTGAACTCTAAACCCTAAACCCTGAACCCGAAACCCTTGCTGGAAGCCTGGAGGAAAGGCAGCAGCAGGGTCAGGAAGACAAGGGCGGCCTGGCAAGGAAAGGGCAAGTTTCTTTTTGCGTTTGCGGTCTAAGGTTTCGGCTTCCTTCATTTTTTGTTTGTTTTGGGGGGTGGGGTGGGGTGGAATTGGGTGTTTAGGGTTTAGGTTTCATGGTTTAGGTTTTTTTGCAGGGGTGTTTGGGGTTTAGAGTTAAGTTTGAGGGTTTGAGGGTTTGGGTCTTGGGTGTTGGGGCTTGGCACTTATCAGCGGTTTCAAGCTTTGAGGTTTTGGTTCAGGGCTTAGGACTCAAGTTTTAAGTTTCATAGTCTTGTGGTTTAGCTTGTTTAGGGCTTAAGTTGGAGAGTTTAGGGTTTAGGTTTCAGGGCTTAGGATGAAGGTTTTAGGGTTTAAGGTTTGTGCCTCGGGGTAGGGTGCTGGTTTCAGAGTTGAGGGTTTAGTCTTCAGGGTTTAGATTTCAGGGCTTAGGATGAAGGTTTTAGGGGTTAAGGTTTGTGCCTCGGGGTAGGGTGCTGGTTTCAGAGTTGAGGGTTTAGTCTTCAGGGTTTAGATTTCAGGGTTTAGGTTTGAGTGGTCAGGGTGTAACACAACAAGCTTTCCCTGGGAACTGCAAAAAATCTCCAGGTCGGCTTAGGGTTTAGGCTTTTGGTTATCAGGGTTTATAAGGGTTTGGGGAACGTCGGCCCTGATACCTTCTTTTTGCCTCGAGGCCAACTACATTCGTCCATTCGGCTCTATGCAAAGAACATAAAAAGTATACAGATTAATACGGCTAAAACGAACAATCCTGCATGACCCCAATTCTCGTATAGTGTCCAACCGAAGGGTACAATACTCACGCTGGACCCAAAGTAGAAGCGTAAAAGCTAATACCCTAGTGTTTTTAGGAAGACTCATCGAATAGCTGGCAGTATGCACCTAGGCCCCCAGAAAGAGCGAGGTAGTGTGGATGGACCAACGCCTGCATGACTTTGCAGCCTAAAGTGGCCCTAAACTGTTGACTCTGGGTCATGTAGGGCATGCCCCATCACACTTGCTGCCAAAATGGCTGGCTACCCCGATGCAAAGGCACCCAAGGCTTATGAGAAGTGCAGTCTGGAACAAGAGTCAGACCCAGACACTGATAGGGATGCAAAAGAGGATTACAAGAAAGGCTGACCATCATCATGGTGAGAAAGCTGCATCTGGCAGTTGCGGTTAGCCATATTTACAGTGCCCTTAGCACACCTCAAAGTACTGGAGACAAAATGTGTGTGGCACGATTACAGCCGTCGGCATCACAGTAATTGTCCTCGCCGTCCCATCATCATCATTTCATCATCGTCATCATCATCATCATCATCATCGTAGCAACGGTCCCCATCTTCATCCACACCATCATTGAAATCGTTGTCTTGGCTGTCCTGTTCAAGCCCTTAACGCTCCGCCGCGCGCCGCCCGTCCCCGCTGTACCTGTGTGCACTTTTACGAGCTGTGTAGGGGACCTTACTGCCCATGACGCCATGCTTTTGTTCCTGGAAACCACAACCAGTAACATTCAGGATCAGG